TTTTAAATAATGAATTATTTAGAAATTACAGTAGACCCCCTATAACACTGTTGATTATTCCATTTTATATGAATTCCATGTTGTACGAGTCACTTAGATTTTACAAATACATGAGCCATTCACAGCCCGGCACACATATTTGTAAAATCTAAGTGACTCGTACAACATGGAATTCATATAAAACGGAATAATCAACAGTGTTATAGGGGGGTCTACTGATAATACATTTTTGCTGCATATTTTATTTATAGGAAAAAACTCTCTTTGATGCTATATAATAACAAATAACAATATTCAATTATAACAAGTAATACGTTAACAGTTACAATTTAAATACGTTCATACATATTTTAACTGCTCCTTCAAAGTAACATTATATTAAGAAGGATATAGCAATATATATGAATAAGAAATATCTCCTATTCAGCAATGATAATACAGTGTTATGAAATTTTTAATTATAATGAGTATAATATGAGTTTAATAAATTAAAATATTCTGTATTGTATTTGTGAAATTTACACAAAAAAATATATATATATTACACAATATACTATCAGTTAAATGAGATATGTTTAAAGATTACTTTAACGAACAGATAAAACTGATTAGGAACAACTATATTATAATTTCAGCATCTAGATTTTGAGTTTAGCCATGATTTATGTATGAATCCTAAACAAACTCTAAATTCAATTAACAAATATATGATTAACTGACTTTAACATTATCCTGTTTATGATATAAAATTTAAGGCCATTAAAGCCTCAACTCTGGGAGCTTAGGATTGAATCAGAATGATTGAATAACCCTGGAATTTCTTCAGATACGTTGAACCCCCTCCACTTGGCTGCTCCATTTTGAACCTGGCTAAACCCATGATGGATATGATAAAAAGATTTTCTATAATATATATATATATATATACATATATAACTTAATTTTAGGATGTATATACTCTATATGCTTAAAACACTTAGTTTAAAATATTCACAATACTTTTTCTATCATGGAAAGAAAAACAAAAACAGCAGCATTGATAATTGATAAATCATAACAAAATTTTTGTTAAAAATAAACATCAGTTAAAATTTCATATATTTATACCTTGCTGAATAAAAGATATTCATTTTATATATTTCTTGTATTTTATACAGCATAAATTCTAAATACCATTCTAAAAGAATTGTGACTTTTGAAATGTCTCATTCAGAGTAACATGTTATGAATTTTCCCAAATATTTCTGGGTTTTAATCAATTCTTTGTAATATTTCTGGGTTTTATTTTCAAACTTGAATTTATTCAAATCCAAAAATGTTTGGTATGATTTATATACCCCGAAGACTTTTGTAAAATCCTAGATA